ACTCTTTACGAATAAGACACGATGCACTTTCCGGTCCATACACATGATACATGCATTTGTAGAATTGAAACCACAAACCTTTTTATTTTAGAAAAATAAAAACTTCTTATTTTACTTGAATGGAGAAGAAATTGATGTTGCTTTATGTTCCTATTACGGATCAAGTAAGCCCGATCACAAAAGAACTTATAAAAGTTATAGACTTATAGTGATGAAAAAATGGAGCTTTCAAATTAAGTTATAGTAGATATTAATGCAATGGGGTTGGTGATATATTATAAATAGAACGTTTATGTACAAAAATTAAGGAAAAATATTAATTCAGAGATATAATATACAGGGTTTGTAAAAATATAACCAAAAAACAGGAGAATCAACAACAACCCAATTGACTTTTCTTTTATGACCAAATCAAAGTCTTTACTAGTGGCACCATATGAAAATACGAAGATTGAGTGTTTATAACGTTGCGGCTGGAACGACCATATGATACCCAAATGAATGATATGCTTAATTAATGATTACTAATGACAATTAATGTGATCTTACTTCATTGGGTTGTATATGTTGCTATCAATTAGGACATTATATTCCGGAGCTAGCACAATTGATCGTCAACCGTAACAAGGGTGCCAAAAAACCCATTATCAATCTACAAGGGATTCTAGTAAGGACTTATTTTTGTATACTCATTTGGAAATCAATTATATACACTATTGAATACTAAAATGAATGGTTTATAAAAAAATGAAAAAATGAAAGATGGGGAATCCTGTAGTGGATGATTACAATGACAACAAAGGGATGCGTGAGTACTGGTGGAATCACGGGCTCATATCGGACGAAAGCTACATGGAACTGACCAAATGGTGTCTTAACGACTCCATCCTATTCCCCAAACCCAACTGTGATGCTGCCTTGAACCAAGCCTTCTCTGAGTTTGGTGACATTGACCCTTACAACATCAATCGCCCTGCTTGCACCAATAATTCATCATCATCAAATGAATGGATGCAAGCATGGCGATATAGAGGGAACGATGAGTGCGTTGTTAGATACACACGCAAGTATATGAACGATCCCAATGTGCACAAATCCTTCCATGCCCGCCTCAACCGCACTTCTTGGACTCCATGCAGTCGTGTGATAAGAAAGAACTGGAAAGACTCACCCAAGTCCATGCTTCCCATCCTCAAGGACCTTCTTCAAGCTCATCTCCTCATTTGGATATTTAGGTATAATAATTAATTATGTATATGATATCAACTGACAAATAGTGGACTGCCCAACGTACGTATTTTATATATTATTTTTAGGTCTCATCTTATTTTGACGTGATATTTCTAACGGAAAATTTGTGTGGAACTATTTTTATAGCGGGGATTCGGACGCAGTGTTGCCGCTAAGTGGGACGAGGCATTCAATAAATGCAATGAAATTAAGTACCAGCAAAAGGTGGTATCCATGGTACCACTCACACGGCTTAGTGGGAGGGTGGAGCCAGGTTTACGAGGGTGGCTTGTTAACGTACGCAACGGTTAGAGCCGCAGGGCATGAGGTGCCATTGTCTCAGCCTCGTCTCTCTCTTTTCCTCTTCTCCCACTTCCTCGCCAACCACTCTCTTCCCTCCTTTTCTTCTTGATTACACTCTAGTGAATTTTTTAAACATCATCAGCTTGTTCTATCCATTATTACTACAGGTGCTTTTATAGTTGGGTCTAATCGCTATTCTTGGACCTTATTTCTTTGGCCCATTATTTGTTATATATGTAAATGACCTCCTTTCATAGGGTGGGATTTCGTCGTTGAATTAGTAGCAATTGATTTTATTTCTGTGCTTCCATTTTATTTGTGTAGTAATTGTTTTTTTTTTTGTAAATCGGATAATCCGCGCCAGAATCCTCGAATGTGCAACCTTGTTAGGTATAAGAACACCATGTGAAATATCGGGCACGAAGCCCAAACCAACTCTCCAGAGTGTGTTTCGAGCGGTAGTCGAACCGAGGGAGAACGAGTTTACAATGCGCGTAGTGTAGAACAAACATAAATTTTTGAACCTTTTTCTTATAATATTAATTTTAAAATAAAGTATAGTACATGGAGATTAAATTTAAATTCGTGAAAATGTTTCCAATCCAAAGTCTCCAACCCCTTCGGTCCTCGTAGTCACATCTTTACAGGCCCCATTGCCTACAAAACAATCAAAAATGTTAATAGATAAAGGAGTAGTTATGGAACTATTTTTTTTTTTTTTACCTTTTCTGACCGTAAACTTTATTAAAATGTAACAACAGTAAAGAGTTCTACTAAAGGCATCAGAGAAATCGAATACGATTTTAAAAACATACTTAGCTATATCACCAAACCAATTGTAGACAGATTTGACGGTATCGACGGCAGGACGAGCATGTTTGTTGAAGAAGTTGGTGGCGTCGGTGGTGGCTGAGTCTATCCTCTGTCCGATCGTTGGTGCTGCTTCCTCAGCCGAGACCAACCCCGACACAAGCAACATCAATGCCAACACCATAGCCACCTTCTTCTCCATCGGGACCGAAAAGGTAGA